CCCCTCCACCCCGCAGCTCCCAGGCAGCCGCCAGCGCTCCCAGACCATCACCTAACCCCAGCCTGTGGCAGCCATCCCTTCTATGCAATAACACAATAGTATTATTTTACTACGATGTATTGAAGAAAAAAAAAAAGGTGTGTGTGTGCACGCGTGCGTGCACACACACACGCGCACACACACACACACCCATATATATGCACATATTTATATATAGGAAGAGAAAAAGACAAGACGGGGTTTGCTGTGCAACCACCTTGCCCTGTCTTCCTTAACCCCAGAAGTCACTTTGGTTTGGGGGGCGGTCAGGCCACCGTGAGCTCTTCCTAATGTGGAAAGTTCCAGAAGGCCTCATCAGAAGAAGAGCACTTGGATAGATCCTGCCGATCTCTGCAGGGCTCGCCTTCAAAGTGGGCCAGCCCCTCCCCAGGCCAGAGCCAGACCGTCTTCCCGATGCTGCTCTCACACTCACGTCCCAGCTGACAGCTTCCCCAGTAACTTTCCCTGTGGCCCACGTCACGGGGTTTCTGTGCCCTGCTTTAGGGAGGAAACCACTTAGGATGGAAAGAACCTACATCCTCGGGGTTAGTATTTCTATATATATGATAATGTAATAGAACATTCCTTTGGGGGAGCAGTGCCTAGGTCCTAATGGAAAGAGTAATCAAGGGGTGTGATTATACCCGTGTGGTCAGATCCCAATTAGCCGGCGCTGGGCAGCGCAAGATTGTGCGAATTTCACATCCTGGCTCTGTAAGCCTTCTCCCACATCCCACGCTTCCTTCGGTTTAACCCTTGTTGCTGCAAATCCTGACATGGCCTCCTTGAGAACCTCGGCCCAGCGGGGGGAGGAAAGCGAGAAGAGGCCAGGCTGATGGCTACCACCCCGGACCAGTTCCCGAGATGGGCTTTCTCCACCAAGTCCCTTTTCCTTGCGATCGTCTTGTTCAAGCAGAGACACATCTTGGGTAACACGGGATTCTGCTAAAGACAGCGGCAGCCCCTTCACATCGTGCATTAGGTTCTGCTGCTGGGAAGGGGCCTACAGGGACGTCCACAGCAGCCCTGTGGCTGGGCCCCTGCCAGTCCACGTGGACCGCTCCCCCCGCGCCTTGAGCAGTCACCTCCGTGGACTCGACCGAGGCCAGAACGGGGGCGGGGCGGGGGGGGGGGGTGGTGCACAAGTAGGTTGGGTTGAGCGCTCGGTTAACCGAGCCCCCCTGTGTCTCGTGGGAGTGCTCGCTGAGGTCGGCATGGCTGGGGCAGGACCGGTGCTCAAATCCAGAGAAGGCAGTTGGGGGGCCGCTTCAGTGGGCGCGGCAGAGGCGGGGTCAGAGCACAGGGACCTCCAAGGTCAGCTTTCCTGGGCTGCCGACCCAGCCTGGGCTTCCTGCCCCTCCCCCGGCTTCCCAGCTGCCTCCACTGCCTTCCAGAACTTAGGAAGGTGGGTGGGCAGAAGGTCCCCGGCCTGATGCCAGGGGTGCCATACTGGCTCGCCCCCTTCCCCCCCCCGTCTCTCCCCGGCCATCCGCAAGGCCAAGCCTTCTCGGGACGGCCCTAATGACGCTGCACAGCTGTGCCCCTCCCGGGGGGGTGGCGTGGGGGGGGGGGGCTTTGTTTTTAAAGCACAGCCCTTTGGGGAAACAATGAACCAGTGAGATCTCCATGGGGCATCAGGAGACTGGCATCGTCCTCTCCGGCTCTGGAGGGCCACCAGCCAATCCAGGCAGCCCTGCACCAGGCCGTAACCCTTTGCCCTCTCCAGAGAAGGAACTTTATTTATTTGCACAATTGGGTGCCTTTTAGCATTTGTGTATTGAAATGGGTATTTTGGAAGCAGGAGTCGAGGGACAGCTTACAAAGGATAGGTCCCCTGCCCTCAGTGCCTGGGCCTCATTCTAGTCCCTTCCCCCCCAGGAACCGGGGAGGGGCGCCAGGGTCATTGAGGCCTCCGGTGTGGGGGATGGGATGGATGCCGCGGGCCAGACTCCCGTTGGCAGTGGGCGCCCTTGTCATTGAGGCTAAGGACGGCTGGCCCCTGGGGGTCACCCAGGACTGTGAGCTCTGAGGGACCTGGGACATCATCCAGCTCACATGCCCTCACCTCCCACGTCATAGCTGAATGAAACCGAGGTCCACCTCGCCAACCCGCCCTGGGTCCCGCAACCTGCCAGCAGCCGTGATGGCACTGTGCCCTGCCCCGCTTTGGGGGGACGCCATCTGGTCCCTCCTCCTTGCTTCCCTCCCCCCACCCAGCCTTACTCCACACCATGTGACAATCATTTTGTATGGATAGCGGGAGCGACGCTGCAAGGTTTTGTACATCGGTGTTTTGTTACCTAGAAAACCCACCGTGTCTCCGGATTTCTGGCACATTAATAAAGGCCTCTGCTTTGTAAACGTGGCTGCTGCCTCGTGACTTCCATCAGGTGCCGTCCCATGGCTTCCCGTATTGTGGGGAAAGAGGGGGGGGGGGCTCGTCCATGGTTGCCCCTGACCCCCCCACCCCTGCCCCACCCCTCGATGTGCCACAGATCCATCAGGCCCAAGAGCCTTTGGCCCTGGAACCAGCCGCTCGTCACCTGGCCCAGGGAAGGAAGAACTGGTAAGAGCTGGGTGTATTCCTTTCTGTACATTTGAAATATTTAATGACTTTTTCACTGGAAAAAAAGACAGTTGGACCCCTTTGCCACTTGCTGGCATAAGGCGGCCGGGCAAACTGAAAAGGTAGGTGCTCCTTGGAAAGTCAGGGCAGCGGCGGACAGCGGGAAGGCACTGGGGAGCACTCATTCTGTCCCCGGAGTTTTCGGGCATTGTGACCCCGGCCCGGGGCTCCCCCTGAGGTAGGCACAGGGCCACAGTCAATTGACTCCTGTTTCACAGCTGGGGAAACCCAAGCTCAGGGCACAGAGGCGCTTGCGACAGTCGGCAGACAGTCCCGGAGGTAGAGTCGAGGGCTGTGCCGTCCAGGACGGTGGCCGCTGAGGGGGCCAGAGCCACGTGCTGCTAGTTTGGGGCCACTGAGCCATACGTATGGTACCACGAATTCCCCCCCCCCCCCCGTTTGCTTTGGCTTTTATTAACGTGGCGACTAGAAATCTCAAAGTCAGGTGTCTCCTATTCCATTTCTGTCGGACGGTGCAGCTCTAGAACTCAGCCCCGATGGCCTGAGGCCCGTGGTGTTGTGCCCGCCCTCTGAGTCACTCTGGCTAAGCCCAGGCTTGGCAGCGGTCTGAGTGAGCCCTGAGAAGATGCGGGAAGGCAGCAGGGCGTGACTCCAGGCCCCGGACACGCCGGTGGTCTTCCAATAACAGCTTGGAAGGCACTTCGCCATCCACTTCACCCCCAACCCCAGCCTCCGAGAGGCTCCGCCGATCATCCAAGGACGTCTGCCTTCTGTCTGCAACTCTGTCCACAGCCAGGCCCGGTCTCCGACGTCCCGTAAACAAGGCTTAGCTGGTCGCCCCGCCCAGGGCGGCGGCCCGGAACCTCCAGCCCCATTCACGGCCCCCCCCCCCCCCCCCCGGGGGCCCCCCCCCGGGGGGGCGCCCCTGCCCCCCCCCCCCCTCCCCCCCCCCCCCCCCCCCCCCACGGGGTCCGACTTCCATCTTTCTGCCTGCAGTGACACCTCCCGGCCACCAGGCGGCGCCGGCCACGCGGCGTCACTCACACGCTTTTCAGGTGAATCACCCCAAATTCGGTAAGCAGGGCCACCACGAGGAAGCTCACGTAGAAGAGGAGCAGGCAGAAGCCGTAGACTTTGCTCAGCTGGAAGCACTGCAGTGGGACCGAGACCAGGGAGCAGACGAGGCTCAGGCCTAGGGCGCCCGCCAAGACCCACACCAGCAGTCCGTCTGGCTCCAGCTGTGGGGGGATCGGGGGGAGAGGCGGGGTCACCGCGGCCACCAGTCCGTCACCCACCCCTCGCCAGGTGCGGGAGCTCTGGCCCCGTGGGATGGCACGCCCCGCCCTCAAATTCCACGCTCTGAGCCACCTACCTAACTGGTGGTCACTTGCCATGGTAACCCTAGGAAACTAACACGGTCTGTTACATACGCACGTTCCGTGCAGGTGGTGGAAAGGTCTCGAGCGATACAGAAGAGCGAAAAGAAGTGAAATGACCCTCTCCCTGCTTCCCTGCCTCCTGGACTTAGCATTCACCTAACATCCATGGGGGACTCGACAACTGGGTGCTGTGCTGGGTGTTTTCACCCACTCCACGTAGCGTCTCATCTGTGCGTCGGGGTAAGGACCTCCCCCGACGACCTGTGAGGGGAGCGTCTTCACCCCAAGGCACAGGCGAGGAAACAGTAATTGGTGCCAGAGCCCACGTCCACGTCCAAGCTCTTACCGACGACACCCTATCCTGCCTCCCCGCCCAGGGACGAACATGCACACACGCGTGTGGATCCACACACGGAGACCTGCACGTCCGTCCTGAAACCAGAAACGGAATCGTAGGCGAAGTGCTTAAGAGCAGCTGCGTTTTCCACCCAACACCAGCCCTTGGCCATCCGTCCGTGATGCCTTCCATCCCTAAACTCCGCACAAAGGCAGTGGAATGCACACACACACACACACACACACACCCCACAAAGAGCAAGAGAAAGGAAGAAATCGGCCCCTTGGGGAGCCAACCCTAAATCCTCATTAACTGGAACTGCCCGGGAATGGATCATGAAAGAAACCTATTAAACCGTGAAGCGTCTAAACAAAATTTGCAGCCCGTGTTTACCTTTTGGAAAAGCAAACTTTCCAAGCAGTCAGTAGCTATTTGCTTGTGGGGGCGGCAACGCCGACGGCGGGCCCCGCCCCACCTTCATTCCCCCCCCCCCCCCCCCCCCCGCAAGAGTCACCACCAAGCAGAGCCCCTCAGGGAAAGCATGGGTGACGGTTCCCATTGATAACGTCGCCTTTCAGGCCCACGACACCCCAGCTGCTCTCGCGTGGGGGGCCCCGGCGGTGGGTCCTTAAGAACAGAGATGCCCGAGGCACTGGTGGCCGGGGCGGGGTCGAATCTGCCTGGGGCGGCTTCCCGTTTGCCCTGAGCAACGTTTGAGAAAGTTCCCCCGGGAATCCTGATTTCTTCTCTAGAAAATGTGGACTATCTGGCCGCATGAGGCCCACGTGAATCACGCACACGTTTGGGGTGCCTCCCTGGTCCCGGTGAGGGCTGACGTTTTCAACCTTGTTTGGAACAGGGTTTCTCAAGCCGCCTACCTTCATCCGTCCCCGGGGAGCTGCTTGTAAAACGCAGTTTCCAGCCCCCACCCGCTGGAACGCCTGCGACAGGAGGTCTCCTGCACCCCTCGGGCATCCTTGAAGCGTTAAGAACCTCCACGAAGTGCGTCTCAGAACCTTCTCCAAATCTGCCAGGCTCCCTGCTGGGGCTGACTTAATCCTCCCTCCTGGCCTGTCCTCTGTGGGCAGTTTGGGCAAAGGGGTTCGGCCTGGCCCTTGCCTCACGCATGCTATCAGGGAAGCTTGTGGGGGCGCCATCTCACCCAGTTCCCAGGTGAGGAGACTGAGGCCCAGGGATGTCCTAACTCACCCAGAGTCACACGGCAGGAGACTTAAAGTGACTGACCGGGACATAAATCCAAGGGCCTTCTTGACCCCCTACTCCCACCCCCCCACCCCTGCCGCAAAGCTATATCCTAATTACCCTGGGAACTTGCAAGGAATACATTTTTTGTCAACCCTGCATTCAGGCTATTTTAAAAATATTCTACACATTCTGACTTGTCACAAGTTCAGGTGACACCTCTCCCCAGCAAGCATATGCTGCTGAGACGGGAATGTTCTCGCACTGGGGGACAGGAGAAAGATGAGGAGAGAGAAACTCCGATCTTCACCTCAGGGCCGTGAGTTCAAGTCCCGCGTGGGACTCCGCACTGGGTGTGAAGGCTGCTTAAAAAAAAAAAAGAAAGAAAGAAAGAAAGAAAGAAAGAAAGAAAGAAAGAAAGAAAAATCCCAGAAGGGGCCCCTTGCACAGGGGTCCGGCCACTCACCTTCACCTCCGCGTGGCTCCTGGAGATCTGGAGCAGGCAGCCCAGCCCTACTCCCACCAGGATATCTGCAGCCGGGCTCAGGAAGTTTGCTGGAACAACGCCCACAACCCCAACCCCACGCCCCTCGGCTTCCCTTGTGGTCTATGCACCCCCAGCCCCCCCAAACCCTGAGGGGACCCTTTCCAGTTTCAGCCCCTTTTAATGTACATTTCTAACTCAAACTGCAAGGAAGAAATGAGTTTGCAGAAGTGCTTGGTCCCTGGTAAGCACTGGGCTTCCCTGCGGCTAGGGGAGGCGACCTGTGACGGAGCACGGGTCAAGGCCATCTACAGGTGTCGTTCAAGGGACGCCGCTCTGGGCAGGGCTCCTTCCTTCCCACCGCAACCTGAGGGCTCAGGAGAGACCACAGCGAGAAAGCCAGGACCAGGTCTCAAAGCGCCACCCCCCGGAAGGCTCTGGCCGGCCAAGGAGTGACAAACGGCCAGTCCCCGCCCACGTTTGCTGGGCACACGTTATGTGCCGGGCACCGCCCTGGGTGCTTTACCCCGTCATCAGTCTCCACGCCAACCCATTCTGAATTTACAGACTGCTGAGGTTCGGAGAGTAAGATGTGTGCAAAGCCCCGAGGTCACACAGCTGGCGAGTGGTGGCACTGCAGCCGGAGCCCTTTCTTCTCAGCCCCGGGAGGGGGGGGGAGGGGGGGGCTCGTCCTTGTCTTTCCTGAACAGACCAGGGCGTGGCGAGTTACAGCCCCCAGGCCAAGCGGCCCGCAGGCCGCTGTTACAAATAAAGTTTTATTGGGACAGAGCCACACCCATTCATTTCCGTATTGCCGATGGCTGTTTCCACACGACCACAGCAGAGTCAGGTGGTGGCAAAAGAGGTTGGCAGGGCCCACAAAGTCTAAACTATTTACTCTCCGGCCCTTTAAGAAAAAGCTGGCCACCCCCTAACATCTACAGACCACGATGTCCATAAGAAGGAGGAAGAGGGTCTTCCAAAGGGCCCGCATAAGCTCGGCATGGGGGCGTCTACGAAAAAGAGTATCTGCCGTCCACTGGGGGCTCACCAGGCACCAAGCATTTCTGTCACCTCATTCAATCCTTACAACAGCCCTTCTGAGGTCAGTCCTCTCAGCACGCCCATTTTACAGATGAAGAAACTAAGTCTCAGGCAGCTACATCACCTGCCCAGGGGGTACAGCAAGGGCCAATCGCAGGGGTGGGGCGCCGAGCACGCCCATGGCCCTCGGAGGCTGGGCCACCAGAGCCGAGGGGAGGGCGGCCCCATGAAGGATACTCAAGATGATGCCGCCGAAACAGGCTGCGAAGGCCATCCGCGGGTAGCCCTGGCGGGCCAGCGTGAAATCTGAGAAGGCGTCTGCGTGGAAACGAGAGACCCCCTTGAGGGGTGGGGAGTGGCTCCCCCTGGCCCTCTGGTCATTCGCTCCCTAATTCTTAACCAGAGTCGTTCGGTCAACAAACACCCAGGAATGCCCATCTGGGCCTTGCGGTAGCTGGCTGGGCCCTCGGCCACGGCCTCCCACGACATGATTCCCTCCTTCATTCTTTCTATCCCATTCCCTCCCACCCGGGGTGTGACATGCCATTACGGCCAGCACACATAGCACCTTTATGCAAATTAGAAAAAAGTACCCCGAAAGGTGAATGGAAGGAGATGTGGATTTTAGCCCCCCTGACTCCTTGTCTGAATGCTCTTGTGCAGCGCACAACCTGGCCAACCCTACCCGGCGGCAGCAGTTAGAGAAGGGTATATGGGTGCATGTGTCAATGCCCGCGTAGGTGGCATACCCCACGTACACATTCAGCGTGGTTGGCTGTAACGGGGAGCCCCATGTCTACACATCGGACAAGGGGGAAGAGGCGAGGGCTTCTACAGTCTCCTGGCCCACCTATGGTCCAGGCCATCTCACCCCTATGACCAGTTATGGTCACTCCAGAGCAACAGTGGGCCCGAGCACATGCCCACAGGCACTCTGGCCAGGTGAGCAAAGGACAGTGAAATGCCGGCACTCATCCCAGAAGCCCACCCGGCCCTGCGTCACCTCCGATGCTGTTCCCCCAGGCCAGCAGCGTGAGCCCCAGGACGGTGTTGCTCAGCCGGAACACGACGCCCAGGGACCGCAAGATGTTCACCACCTCTGTGGCAGCTGCGTTGATCCACAGGGCGCTGGTCAGGAAGCCCAGGAAAGCAAAGAGCTGGGGAGGGAACGGTGCGCTGATGGCCCAAGGCCAGTCCCCAGCAGGGATACGGCCTCAGTTCCCCCATCAGTAAAATGGGATGATCACAGTACCTACCCCCTGAGATTGTCACGAGCATAAATGAGTTAACGGATTCAAAGCAGTGAGTGCTTGGCACACAGTAAGTGCTCAGTAAAATGCTAGCTCAGTGTTACTCTTTTGTCATAGCTCTCTTGGGCCAGAGGCCCATAGACGAAACTCCATCCCCGTTAGCGGGGACTCCCCAGCGCACCCCACCTCCCTCCGGTGCCCAGCAGCTGCTACTCTGCTCCCTGCCTGCTCTAGACACGCCATATACACGGCTGCACGCAAACGTGGTCCTTTGTCACTGGTCTCATTCACTCCGCATCACGTCTTTCAAGGTACGCTCCCTGCTGGAGCGTGTGCCAATGCCTTAAAATCCGCAGTTTTTAAAAATCGATAAATAGTAAAAAAAAAAAAAAAAAGAACATTTTAAGTGAACTCTTAAGAGTAAACTCTGGACATACTGCCTAAAAATTCCTCAGGGTGTTGCAGGGTGGAGAGAATGGGAAAAAAACCCACCCACGAACACCGGAAAATTCTATCCCTGGGACCTGGCTGTTGGAGACACAGGGGTTTCCGGCAGCAGGGAAGAGTCTGGCAATCCCTCAAAAAGTGACTCCACCGTTTCGCCTAGGAATACACCCAAGAGAAACAAAACCTCCCAGCCACGCGTTTTTACGCGAAAGTTCACAGCGGTGTTACTCGTAACATCCCCAAAGTAGAAAGAACGTCCGTGAATGATGCACGGATAAGCTAAATGTGCCGCATCGCCATACGATGGATGGCATTGAGCCACGAAAAGGAGAGATTCACTAATCCCTGCTCATGCCCGGAACAACCTTGAAAACACGACGCAAGAGTCACAAAAGACCACATATTGTGTACGTATGTGTCTACGAAAAGTCCAGAGCAGGCGAATCCACAGGCACCAGAAGCAGACTGGCAGTGGCCAGGGGTCGGGTGACAGGCGCGGGGTGTCTTTTTTGGTGTTGAAACGCTCCCCAACTGATAACGGTGATGGCTGCACAGCTCCGTGAATATAATAATAACCACCAAATCCCATATTTTACAGGGGTGAGTTGCATCAGGATATGTGAATTACATCTCAATCAAATAAAGCTGCTCCAAAAAAGAGAAAGAAAGAAAGAACCTTGAACAGGTACGAAACTGTCCAAAGTGTGGGGCACCTGGGCGGCTCACTTAGGGGTCTGACTCTTGATTTCGGCTCACTGTTGGGGAGTTCAAGCCTCGCTGGGATTCTCTCTCTCCCCCCCTCTTCTCTCTGAGCGCCCCCCCCACTCGTGCACTCTCTCTCTCAAAATAAACTTAAAAAAGAAAAACAACAAACCCAACAGTCTCAAAAGTGGCTTTAAAGACCTGTCATCACGGAAAGTGATTACTGGCCTAACTGCCCCGGGAGCACGAACACACATCTTTCTGGAAGATTCCAGTGTCCCCTCATCCCACCCCGGAGCACCGGAGATTCTTACCCAGTGAAACCTGGGAGGCTCACTGTTGGATGTGGCAAAAAAGGTCACCGCAGCCAGGGCTGTGCCCACAATCACCACCACGGCCCAGACAGGAAAGAGGCCACCGATCTCGTAGATGCCGTCTGCAGAGAGGCAACAAAGGGACTTGGGACCACTGCTTCCGCGTGGCCGCGCCTCCTGGAGGGCACACGTCTTCCCCGGAGTGAGCGAGAGGGGCTGGCGGAGAGACCCAGGGATAAAACTCACTTGCACTCTGTCGTTGGACACGCCACGTGCCCAGTGCTGTCCCGGGCACCGCAAGGGGACGGAGAAATTAAAGGCAGAGCCCCTGCCTCAAGCTAGTCATACTGGAAAGGCAGCAGGCCCGTGAAAGACAGACTCTCCCCAGCCCTCTCCCGTGAGACTAGGACGGGAGTGGCTCAGCCCGCTCCCCACCACCGTCCTCTCCCCCGCCGTGGCAGACATCACTAGTCAACCATGATGCTGACTGAGCTTCAGGCCAGCACCACTCCACTAAATGAGCCGTGCGGTCAAACCCGCCGCTTACCCACTGACCCTGGGGCCCCACGTCTGCTCTCTCGACAAACCCGCTCCCCAAAGGAGCCCAGTGAGAGTTACGTGAGCTCCGGGGGCTTCGTAGCAAAACACGAAAAGGAGAAAGCCCCACCTACGGGCAGGCAGCACGCTCTGGAATTCTCCGCACGTGACCCTTTTCACCACTCGAAGGCAGTGGAGGGTTTGGCGACCCAGACTCTCCTCCTGTTCTCTTTCAGTCTAGCTCACGGGCTCTCCAGCGTCAGCTGGCGACAGAGTTGCACGAGGCAGCTGATACACAGAACCGTGTCCCCAGCACACTGTGTCAGAATCTCAGGAGGCGATTCTGACACAGAACGTGGTCTGGGCTTTGGAACCTGACGCCTGGGTCGGGGGCCCCTTCCTCTGCATTGGCTAGGCCTGTTCTGGGGGAATTTTAGGAGGTGGCTGGATGTGGGGTGGTTAGGGAGGGCTTCCTCCGGCGTCGAGGATATGAGTCATAAGCGGAGAGAGGGCACGAGGGCCACGGGAGGAGAGGGGAGAGCTGGACCGGGGAGGAACCAAGCAGGTTGTTGGTATCCCACGAGCAGAAGAGGCTGGGGAAGGCGGCGGGCTCGAATGATGGCCGGCGGGGGGGTGGACTTGTACCAAGAGGCGCTGGGGAGCCATGGGGGTCTTGGCATGGAGGAGTGACCACCACATATGAAAAGTGGCCCTTCAGGGAAGAGGGCTCTGGGGGTGGTCGAGAGAGGGAGGCTGGGAGGCTCTGGCGACAGACACAACACCCCCTCCGGCAGGGAGTCCGGAGTCACCCGCTATGCGGTGCTCAGCCCAGCAGGGGGCTCACAAACGCGTTAGCCTGAAGCAGAGTCTCCCCAGGATGGACCTGCTATCACCGGATGGTGTCGGCACGTGGACGAGACGCTGTCGTGCCAGAGTCACACCTCAGGCTCCTTCAGAGAAGGTCTCCCTTGGTGCCAATGGGTCTGTGACGTCTCCGACACCTGCCGAACGCCCTCTGGAACAAAGGCTCCCGGCTCAGACGCTTAATTTCTGCCGTGCCTTTGCCTTGCATGTATCGGCAACGAAGCCAGTTTCCTACTGGCGCGGCTGATACAGTTTCCTTTGCAGTGAATGTAAGTTTAAGCACAGCTGATTCACGAAAAATGTCAGATTTAACAGTACACAGAGGGAGAAAAACCAAGAAGATGGCTCATGAGTGACCAATGCCTGGGAACTACTCTTTTAAGCAGCCGCAGAGATCATGAGAGAAGGGCCCCCGGGGGTGCCCTGACCGGAGACGAGACCCTCCCGCTTAGTAGGGAATGAAAGGCTGAGGGACGAGACGGCTGGCACCCCCAAGGGGCGCCCTTCTCGGCTCTGGGATCACACCTTGCCCTGCTGGACAGTCTCTGTGCCCCCGCTCCTCCCCACCCCGGCACCCAAATCAGAGAGGAAACCCCCAGGGAACTTGGTAGATGTCTCATGCTGACACCCGGCCATGCATTTGTCACCAGAGTCCGCCCCCCCCCCCACCTCCACATGATGCCCAGGGGACAGAGGGATGGGCAGCACGTAACAGAAAGAAGCCTGCACAGCAGGAGTTGGGAGACACCTGATAACACTGGGCATTTCTTTAGCCAGAGCAGGTCGGAAAAGGCGAGGGCAGCCTGGTGCAGACAGGAGAAAACTCGGATTCCCCAGCCAGGTCCCCCAGCAGGCAACAGAGGGGACGGCCGTGATTTGGACAGCAGGCACCTCCCACCGGGGACGCCCTTCTGCCATCCAGGCAACTCTGCCTTCAGAAACGTGGCCCGGAATGGGGGGCGGGGGGAGGGGGGAGGGGGGCCGGCCCGGGACCATACTCACAGGCGCCCGACTGCAGGGTCAGGGCCAAGACCAGCGGGCTGATCACCAGGTGCAGACAGTTGAGGGGCCGTTTCCAGTTGCCATCGTCCTTGTCGGGGTCCACAACTGGGACGGTGAGCAGCAGCAGGAACTCCACGGGCAGCTGTCAAGTGGGCGAAGGCAGACGGAGGTCACGAGGGAGGCCCGCGTCCCAGCGGGCTGCACGAAGGCTTGGGCAGGCCCAGGCTAAGTGCCCGTATTAGTCTCCCAAGTGCCGCTGGGACACCTTTGCCAGGACGGAGTGCCTGCCGGCAAGTTCTGGGGAACAGGCTCCTAAAATCAAGGGGCTGGCAGGGCCGCACCTCTTTCTGGAGGCTGTGCGGGAGAATTCGTTTCTTTGCCTTTTCCAGCTTCCAAGGCCGCCCGCATTCCTTGGCTTGCGGCCCCCACCCGGGTCACGCCAAGCTGTGCTTCCGTTATCACATCTCCTCCAACTCCGTCCCCCCCCCCCGCCCCCCTCCTTCCCTAGAAAGAGCCTGGTGATGACACCAGGCCCACCTGGATAATCCAAGAAAATCTCTGCATCTCAAGATCCTTAATCACAGCTGCAAATCCCTTTTTCCATGAAGGTAACATAGTCATGTTTCCAGGGAGCAGGACGCAGGCATGGGGCGGGGGGCGGGGGGCCGTTCTTCGGCTGACCACAGCACCTCGCCCGCTGATCCTTTCGACAACCCCGTGCATAGGAACTAATCTTTTCCCACCTTCCAGATGAAGAAACTGAGGCAGAGAGGTTACGGAACTTCTCCAAAGACACACAGAAGGGTATGGGAAGTTGGGATACGGGGCCAGCTCTGACCGACTCCACACCTTGTGTTTCCAGCCAGTAACTAAATTAGGTAATAACACGGACAGAGTGCTGCCGACTTGCAAACCTCAGAGACATCATGGGTTTGGTTCCCAACCACCTCACTAGAGCGAATGTCGCAACGAAGCGAGTCAAACGAACGTTCTGGTGTCCCAGTGCACATACAGGTTATGTTTCCCCTACACCGTCGCCTATTAAGTGCACGGTAGCCCTGTGTCTACAAAAATGTACATCTCTTACTTAAGAAAATACTTTGTTGCTACAAAATGCTAACTGTCATCTGAGATTTCAGCAAGTCATAAGCACCGACTGCTAAGCACTGACCACAGATCACCACGACAAATATAATAATGAGAAGTATGAAATATCGCAAGAATTACCAGAACGTAACGCGGGGCCACAGAATAAACAAATTGGTGGCTCAGTCGATTGGGCGTCCGACTTAAGCTCAGGTCATGATCTCGCAGTCCGTGAGCTCGAGCCCCGCGTGGGGCCCTGTGCTGACAGCTCAGAGCCTGGAGCCTGCTTCAGATTCTGTGTCTCCCTCTCTCTCTGCCCCTCCCCTACTCGTGTACTCTTTATCTCTCAAAGATAAATAAACATTAAAAAATTAGGGGCGCCTGAGTGGCTCAGTCGGTTGAGCGTCTGACCGGCTCAGGTCATGATCTTGCGGTTCGTGAGTTCGAGCCCCGCGTCGGGCTCTGGGCTGACAGCTCGGAGCCTGGAGCCTGCTTCAGATTCTGTGTCTCCCTCTCTCTCTGACCTTCCCCTGCTCACACTCTGTCTCTCACATTGTCTCAAAAATAAATAAGCATTAAAAAAAAAAATTTTTAGGGGTGCCTGGGTGGCGCAGTCGGTTAAGCGTCCGACTTCAGCCAGGTCACGATCTCGCGGTCCGTGAGTTCGAGCCCCGCGTCAGGCTCTGGGCTGATGGCTCAGAGCCTGGAGCCTGTTTCCCATTCTGTGTCTCCCTCTCTCTCTGCCCCTCCCCCGTTCATGCTCTGTCTCTCTCTGTCCCAAAAATAAATAAACGTTGAAAAAAAAATTTTTTTTTAATTTAAAAAAAAAAAGAAAAAGAAAAGTGGTGCCCACAGACCTGCTAAACACAGCCTGGCCGCAAACCTTCAACTTGTAAAAGATACAGTATCTGTGAAGCTTAATAAAGCGAGGTGCAATGAAATGGAGCATGCCTGTTAAGACACCGGACCCAGCCCTCCGCATATTACTTTTTATTAAATTGTCACAGCGACCGTGATAGGCTCGATACTGTTCACGATGCTCCAATCCCTTCCCGCGACAGAATTCAACACCCACACGCTTTGCCAAGTGATAGGAGTCTGCAGGATACGTCGCCCTGCCCCACTGAACTTGGCCGTGTGACGAGCTTCGGAACAACGGGCTGTCGGCGAACGTGATGGGAGTAGAGACTTCAACCGCGCTTGCAAGGTTGGCCTTGGCCTCTTCTGCCGAGACCAGAGCGCATCCCCAGCACCCACGGGCCCCAGAATGAGACACTGGGTGGACCTACACCTCCGAACACAGCCTGAAGTCCCCCCAGACAGCCCTCAGGCCCTTGAATGAGAAAAAAAGACTGTCGTCGTAAGTCGGTGAGATCTGGGTCCTGCAGGGCATTGCTGTGACAGCAACTCACAATTACAGTCACTCCAGGAGGAGGGCACTGTATCATTGTCCCCATTTTGCTGCGGAGGAAACTGAGGCTCAGAGAGGCCCCAGGTCACGATGCCACCGGAGCCACCGTGGAGGACGGATAAGTGTGTGGTACGTGCCTCCTGGAACAGAGGGGCCGAAAATGTCTCCGCGTTGGCGGCCTCCAGGTTCTCTCCGGGAGGAGATAGGGCTGGGAGGTGAGACCCTGCCCCTTTTGCTCTGGGTGGTGAAAGGCAGCTGCAAACCAGCCTGGGCACCCCACTCAGGTCTACACCTCAGGACACATTAGCCCCGGGGAAGCAGCAAATTGTCAGCACGGCTCAATCTCATTCTCATTGGAGCTCACCTTGACCCACTCCCTCACCCCAGCCCCAGACCCCCGTTTCCCAGTCAGGAGGGGTCCCCTCCCCTTCTCCCTCTGTCCCAGAGGCTCTCCTTCCTCCACGGTGGGGGCAGAGCCCCAGGTCAGGCCCCCAGCCAAGCTCTATGACTCAGTTTCCCCATCAAGTCCCAGGTACTCTATTCTGAGAGGGTCTCAGCAGACTCCAGCCCCTCCCCTGTCATTTAGCTGGAGAAGGTTGAGCGGCCACTGCCCTGCCGCTGTCGTGGAGCCGTGAGCCTGGCTCCAGGGGCCCCCCTCCTACCTTGAGCACCTTGAGGGCCCTCCAGTACACAGACTTGTTCCTCCACTTCCTGTAATCCAGGGGGTTGAGGGCCCGGGCCAGGATCTGAGCCGTGGTCTCCTGATAGAGGAGAAGCGGCCGGTACTCTTCGCCTGGGTGTGCAAGGGGGAGTGTGCGGCTGGCTCAGCTTCCAGGAACCCCGCTCCCCTCCCCACTTCTTTACCCCCACCCCCGCCGGGCACGGAGACCAGACTCACTGTAGTCGTAGCTGTTGGAAGACACTGGTTCCACCTCAGAGTCTGACAGCATCTCTGTAGGAGAGAGGGGTGTTTCGCACGAGCCGGCCAGGGAGCCCGGATGCTCTCCACCACCATTCCAGTGCGGGACAGCCCCGGGACAGGGCAGTGTCCAGGGCCCAAGTGTCCAGGCCCTCTGGAGCTCGGATTTCTCAGGATCCCTACGCACGCCCAGGATTCTTACCGAGTGAGAAAGTCTAACTCAAAAAACATCTTCAAATGTAACATAAGGGCGTTGGAAGAGGTAATTCAAACATTTGCTGACTTCAGTTTGGGACCTTCCAGAATTTGGAACCCATCCCATGTTTTTCTTTCAGTCTGGAACTTTCCTTGGAAGTCCTCTGGAACGCTTACAGCCTGAGCCCGGCAAAGAGGGGCCTAAAATCAAAATGGTCTTTCTCAAGTGAGGAGTCACGGCCAGCCCTAGTTCTGCCTCTGCGTGACCTGAAGGGCCCTCTCCGGGCTTCATTTCTCCCTCTTCCTCCAGCCTGATGGGCTATGATGGGTCTGGAAGACGGCACAGGGGTGATGTGTGCTGAAATCGGAAGGCTCAGTTGCCACCGGGGAGGAGAGGAAAAATCGTGGCAGACTTCCTGTAGGGGGAGTCACCGGCACCCGTGTGTTGTTCAAGGGTCGGCTGCGCGTGCGTGTATGCACGTGTGTTGTGCACGTATTTGCGTACGTGGGTGTTACGCGCGTATTTGTGTATGTGGCAGCGTCACTGGATGTGAGCCGTGACGGCTCTCGGATGTCGCCCTGGAAAGAGCACGGAGCAGGAGGGACTCGAGAACCTGGACAGGCAGCTGGGGGAGAGGCCTCACCGGCACCGGCGAAAGCGTGGAGGCGGGACCTTGGTGAGAACGGGTAGAAAAAGTACACGGAGGAGCTGGACGATGACATTGGCCTCCAGAGATCTAAGGGAGCAGCGAAGGGCACAGAGGGTGCCAGCCCCCGCCGGCCTCTCTCGGGAGCTCGACCCGGACCCTTACCTGGGGTGCCTGGCATGGAATAGACCAGGGACCTCCTCCGCTGCCATCGGTACAGCCAGGTGCAGACAACCACGGTAAGCACATAGAACACGTACAAGCCTAGGTAGCCTGCGGACAAGGGCGCGGGCCGTCACCAAGCGGCATCCTGGCCACAGGCCCAGAGCAAAGGGCTGTCAGCTCCCCTGGTGCCTGGTGCCGCTGGTCTGTGCCAACCTAGCCCCGCGCCCGCAGGGAAACGGCAATTTCCTGGAGCCCCCACCCCACCACTCTGCTCTCCTTGGCCCACCTCCCCTTCCTGCCCCCCACGGTCTGGAAATCAAAGAGGAGACGCCCGACACAGACAGTGGCCTTCGGGACCTGAGTCGAGCGCTAAGGGCGGGTGTCCTGCTCTGCGCCCTGGGAAGCGGGAGCCCCAAGACCGCAGCCCCGGAGCTCCGGCTGTGCCAGGTTTGGCCAGCAGGGGGCCTGCCAGCAAATCGGCAGGTGGCAGGAGAGGGTCTGCGGTACTCTTCCAGGCTCCCTCCCCGGCGTGGTGCCCTGTCTCTGGCGGGACGGGGCGGGACCCTCTGTGACTTGTCGCTCTCGCTCTTGGTGGCACCAGGACTAGACCTCCAGTCGTCACTAGGCTCCAGCTAGCATGCCCTGCCCTTTCTGGGGCTCCTACTGTGCTGATCCCCAGATGTCTCTGCATCTCAGCGCCCCTCGTGGGTTTCCGTAACCCTTTATAAATTGTGCCTCCACCACGTCACCTGAGTCAGAAGTGGAACGCGTGCGCAGCAAGGACCCCGACGGCCACCGTCAGCACCCTGGCTCTATTGCTTGTTAAAATGTGACATCGTGAAGGTCTGCAACACCACCCCAGTCTCCGCCCTGCCCCCTTTGGTTATCTGAACCGTATGTTCCTTTTTTGTTGTTGTTGTTCTGGCCAGCTTGAGTAGGGTTTCCCCTCACTTGGGAACCCAGAGGGACGTTGTGCCCCACTGGCCTGCCACCTGCCAGCCCTGGGTGATGGATGAGCCACCCAGCCCCGCGGCTGCTCACCCAGGGTCCATGCGAGCGTGACTCTGCCCAGGTAAAGCGCAGTGAAGGTCAGGAACACGGCCACCATGTAGAAAACAATGTCCCGGAGGAAGGGCCTGGAGGCGGCCGTGAAGGGGCGCAAGATGGCAATGCCACCGGCCACCACGGTGGTCACCAGCACACCCGCACCTGGGGGAGAGGACGGCGTGCTCAGCCCGCCCTGCACCCGCTCCCGCTGCCCCACCCCCCCAGCCGGGCCACTCTTACCGAACAGAGCCCCCAGGGCCAGGCCGGCGGTGCGCGGATCCGAGAAAGCCACCAGGGCGCTGAAGATATCAGGTGCACCGTTCCCAAAGGCCAGGAAGGTGACGCCATGGGGGGGTGTGCGTCAAGGGGACACAGACCAGGGCCCCTGGCCCGGCCGGGCCTTTCCTGGGGCACGAGCCACACCGCCCTGTCTCCCAGCCACCCCTCGGACTGCCCTCCCTCCCTCCCTCCCTCCGGGGTGCAGGCCCTGGACAAAAGGATACTGCCACATTGTGAGAAAGCTTGAGCAAGGTGCAAATGGCTGACAGGTTCGGGCAGAAACTGTGGAGAGAAAGGCACCAGTGTGGGCCTCCCCGGCGGGTGGTCCCTGCCCACCTCCTTCTCCTAAACACGGGGTCACCCGAATGCCAACCCCCCCGGGGGCTCTGTTCCCATCTAGAAGCAGGTCCGTGAACCCAAGGCCAAACTCACAACTTTGCGGCGGTGACTCCCAGAATCAGAAACAGGTACAGCAGCCAAACAGCCTGGAGGGGCGGCCGGAGAGGGGAGGGAGGGTTAAGTCCGGCCTGGGCCGCCACCGGCCCCTCTCACCAGCTCCCCCGGGGCAGGGCCTCACATAGAGGGTGACGGCCAGAGGGAGCAGGTTGGGTGGGAGGCGACAGAAGATGCCCTCGAGGTAGTTGAGGTAACCCCCTTCACTGCGGCAGTCAGGGTTGGTCCTGATGAAGTCACAGCGGTCAGAGACGTTCAGGCTGCACACCTCACGACACTGCAGGAAGGGGCGGGCGGAAAGGGGGGCGGGGGGGGGGGGGGGGGTTGGGGGGGGGCCCCCCGGGGGCCCCCCCCCGCCCCCCCCCCCCCCCCCCCCCCATGTCCGGGGTAGCCGCCCTGCGGGCAGCCGGACCGGGACCATCCCAGCAGCTGAAGACAAGCTCCTTCAGCCCGACCCCTAACCGCCCCCCCCCCCAGTGCCAACCGCATACTTTAATTTTTTCAAATAAATTTGTGTTTGAAATTAACACAAGTAAGTCACGAATACATATTGGTTTCCAAACACAAATATGTACAGATTTCTAAATCCCCCATTCTCTTCCCTACACGCCACAATCCCCCCTCTTCCCAAAGGCCCCACCACCGTTAGTTTCCCGAGTAACCTTACAGGCATAATGACCTTGTATATACATCCTAGTACACAGTTTGTCTTGTTCTACAGAAACGGATCCGTCTTCAGTCTCTTCTTCTTACAATGTGCTATTATCACTTCACATACGTGCCGTGTGTTAATATATCGGTACACATTACAACGGAGAAGCGGATAGAAGTCAAAGCGTTCTGAGTAATGGCTATAAGGCAGGCACTAGGCCAGGAGCTGAAAATGTATCTCAATTAACCCGCCCCACAATCTTTCAAGGAGAGCCCTATTATCGTGCCCGGTGCACAGATAAGGACACGAAGGCAGTGTGCTGGGGTCCACTCAGTGGTAGACAGGGTGGGAATCCAGTCGGTTTGAGCCTCCAGAACCCTGTCCTTAACCCAAGGTTGGGTCCATAACCCAACCTTAACCATCACACTCCCCCTAGACTCCCTGCCAATACATTTCAATTCTTTAATTTTCTTTTCTTTCTTTTTTTTTTTATTTATATATGAATCAATTCTTTAATTTTCAAGGAGGCTTCATGCCCAGGGCGGAGCCCAACGCAGGGCTTGAACTCACCACCCTGAGATCGAGAGTCAGCACGCTTAATCGACTGCACCACCCAGGTGCCTCTCCCTGCCGATCTGTTTTTAACATCAACGGAGGAGGATTTTATACTCTGAAGGATACACAGGGGAGGTAACATTTCCCTACTGGCAGGCCTATGGGTGTGTCTGATTTTTCAATATTGCCAACAATAAACTTCCTTGCATGTGACTCTCTGAGTGCATGTGAAAAGATTTTGAAAGAGCGAATTCTAGAAGTAAAAGGGCTGAGTCAGAGTGTATCATAGTCTGGGTTCCTCCAGAAGCAACCGGGACACAAGGATTTATAAGTGAGTATTTGGAAGAAAAAAAAATTTTTTATGAAAAAAAAAAAAAGTATTTGGGTGCTGTATGGAATACAACTACCAAAATGAGCTGGTGGGAAAGGAAAAGAAAGCTACCAGTGAGCCTGGGCTGGGACCACGCCCACCTCGGACTAGTAATCCCGCTGGGACCACGCCCACCTCGGAATCGTAATCCCGCTGGGACCACGCCCACCTCGGACTAGCAAGGGAGCTGGGGTATTTAGACACCGACTCCCACCGGTCGCTAGCTGGCTCCCCAGCACTTCTTCCCACCATGCTTACGGGCAGTTCCAGAAAAAGATGCTGGCAACTAGAAGCCAAGAGCAGCCCAGCAAAGAACGGTAATGCCCAAAGGATAGGGGCGGGGCCCTGCCCGCGTCTCTTGCAGAGACAAACACGTTAAACGTTCCATGGGTTTGGCCAAAATCCCCGCCCCCGACCCTACTTATTATACACACTCCCACCAGCAGTGGCAAATGGGGTCCACACCAGTGCTTCCCACTAAGTCCTGTCCAGGCCAGCGCGGTAGGAATCTCCTTGTCGCTAAATTGCAAGTCCCCGATTACTTGCCAAGTGCCCTTCTCGTGCGGGAACGGTCACGTGTGTTCCTTCTTCAAAGTGCCAGAGTTTTCAGCTGGAAGCTCTCTCTCTGTATGATGGATATTTGCCCTTTGTCGGGTCTGCAGCCTAGGATTTCCCTCCCCCTTCTCAAACTTTTAAAAGCTCTGAGGGGCACCTGGGGGGCTCAGGGCAAGAACTCGCAGTCCGTGAGTTCGAACCCCGCGTCCGGCTCTGTGCCGACCGCTCGGAGCCCGGAGCCTGCTTGGGATTCTGGGTCTCTCTGGCTCTCAAAAAGGAATAAATGTTACCCCAAAGAATTAAAAAAAAAAAAAAAAAAAGCTTTGTAAATATCGCCTCACCCCCATTAGGAGGGCTGCTATATAAAGCAAACAAACCTGGAAAATAGGAAGGATAGGGAGAAATCAGAACCCACGCGCACTGTTGGTGGGAATGGAACACAACAGTGGGGCAGATCCCCCCCAAATTAAGAGAATTACCAGTCCAGGGAGGAAAGGCACCACGTGGTGACCAGTTAGCGCTGCTGTTTGGGACGTAGGAAAGCTGTTAGGACAATAAATCCTAAGAGTTCTCATCATGAGGGGGAAAAAAATACATATATATCTTTTTCTTTTTCATCTTTATGAGACGAGAGATGGTAACTAAGCTTCCTGTCCTCGCTTCACATAACTCGTGATGCCGGACGCCTTCAACGGCGGCAGTGCCAGATGTCCGTTCTATCTCAATAAAACTGGGACAAAACCAGATCGGGTAAATCCGCTTCCGGGTATATGCCGAAAAGAACAGAAACCCAGGTCGCAGACAGAGACGAGCACACCCACGTTCCTCGGCACTATTCACAAACCGCCCAAAGGTGTAGAAGCGACCCCGGGGTCCCGGAGGGATGAACGGACGAGGAGGTGTGGCATATCCATGCGGTGGCCTAGGACTCTGCCTTCAGAAGGAGGGAAATGCTGCCGCCACCACACGACGGACGGGCCGCATGGGGACCCTAAGGGATGGCGCTGTGCTGGTGCAATGAAGCTAGTCACCGAAAAGACAAACGCTCTTCAGCTCTGTTTATCGGAGGTGCATGGACCAGTCCAATTCGTAGAGACAGAAAGCAGACCGGGGTGGGGGAGATGGGGAGGGGACAGATGGGGGTGCGGCGGCCGCATTACAGTGAAAAGACGAAAAGACGGTGACCTTGAGGTTATGTATGTTGCACCGTAATTTAAAGAGAAACCACGTAGTCAAATCGCGCCTCCACCCCCTCCAGCCCTCGCCGAACTCCCACCGACCTCAGACTCGGGGAGGGGAGATTTCGGGTCTCTGAGCCCTCTGGCCACGGCCCCACCCCTGCTGGCTGGCTCTCAGGCGAGGCAACTGCTGTATCTACTGCGCATGTCCTCCCTGGGGGCCGCTGCACCGCGGCCTTCTTCCTCCACGTTCCTCCACATTCATCCTCCAATTCTTGGGTTCCCCAGATGCTTCCTCCAGGAAGCCTTCCCCGACTACCTCCAGCCTAGGGCGGATCCCCCCAGTTATAAATTCTCATCATCCCAGGTGCCCCCCCTGCCAAGCACCTATGTGTTCTGAAGTCCCCAGCGATTCGTAGGCTCACACACTGGTTAAGTGCCCACCTCGCCACCAAAGTCTTGCACAGTGCCCAGCACACAGTAGGTCGTCAGCAACTGTTTTGCCACACGCTGTGCCGGGCACCATCGCACTCGGTCTTCGTGACAGACCTGGGAGGTTGGTACAATTGTCTCCATTTGATACATGAGAAAACAGAGGCACAGAGAGGCAAAGTGATCTCAGCTCTTTCCAAAAGTGACTAGCTGAAGCTCCTGGGGAACCAGCCCGGTGGGGCAGGGGTAGCCTCCCCTTCTAGCCCACACCCCCTCCCCGCTCCTTGCCCCCAGGGTCAGCCAGGGAGACAGGCCCAGCCCCCGCTTGTCTTCATTTCCCTGACATCTGAGCGAGCCAGCAAGGCGGGTCCCCCACATCAACCTCCAGAATCACATTCTTCTACAGCGTGCCTGCCCCCCATCCCAAGGAAGTCATGCCCTCCCCTAAAGCCCAGCAGCAGCCGTCCCCAGCTCTCTGCCCTGGGGTGGCAAATTCACGGTGGCACTGCTCTGAGTCTGGGGTGGACTTTTCGGTTCCTCCCCATTCCCTGAGTCACTAAGGACACCCAGGGGAGTATTTGGCCCTCTCCTGGCTCTGGCTTCCCCTCCCTGACCCTCAGCACCCTCATCTATGGCAGAGATGTGTCCCTAAATGGGGGGGAGGGGGGGAGTTGGGGGAGAATTTGTTGAGCGTGCCTCGGTGCTGGCCTAAGTGCTCAATAACTCAGAGATTGTCTGGCACAAGCCACAAGTTATTCCGGTTTTCCTGCCCCCGAGGAGCATGCCCCGAGAGGCTGCAGTGAATTTTATAGCCACACTAACCACAAACCACTTTCCCATCTGTAAAATGGGTATAATTACCCGTTCACCTGCCTCCGAGGGTGGGCACGAAGGTACTCTGCGGCCCTACAAAACTGGCGTGGGCGCCGAACACCCCCAGCTCTTCGGGGCAAGAGGGAGGAGTCTGTAATTCCACTCTCCCAAGGAGGAATGGCAGGGACTCCAGGGGTCACGGTGACCAGTCCCCTGCCTTCAGTCTTTCACTTGGGATCTACTGTGATCTTTCCCCTGCTCGCAGACATCAGAATGGCATGATGCAAGTTCCCGCAGCCTGTCTCAATGGCCCCCACCCTCCCTGTCTTGGAGAAGGACTTCCTGCCTCTCACTGAGACATCTGCATTTCTCTCCCTCCATGCATCCGAGTCAACAGCACCACCGTCCCCCCCCCCGCCGGAGATCTCTCTTTCTCCCACCACCTCATCCGTTGGTAGATCCCACGCAGTGTGCCCCCAACGTTTATGCCAGATCCCCCCCCTCCGCTGCTCTCCCCGCTGCCACCCTCACTCCTCTCAATCCACTCTCCCCAGAGAAGCCAGAGAGCTCTTTTGAAGAAATAAATCAGATTCTGACAACACTCGGCTTACAACTCTCCACGGACTCCCAACTATTGTAAACAAATATCACCTCCTAGCCTCAGCCTATAAGGCCTTTTATAACCTGGCCACGGCTACCTCTCCATCCTCATCTCTTAACATTCTCCCCCTCGCTCGTCCCGTACCAGCCACTCTGGCCTCCTCACTGCTCCAGGAACATGCCAGGCTTGCTGCTGCCCCAGGGCCTTTGCACTTGCTGTCCTCTCTGTCTGGAATGCTCTTTCTTCCCCAGATGTCTGTATAAGTGACTTCCTTTTTCCATTCGGGGCTTGGCTCAGAGGTCAGTATCTCACAGAAGCCACCTGTGACCACCCGTTCGGAACTCATTGAAAATACACCCTCCTCATCACAGCTCCCGCTAACGTCTTACCACCTGAAATTTACATGTTTTACTCCTTGATCTGTCCTCCCAGAAGACTGTTCGCTCCATGAGGGCAGGGAGTTTTGTCTTTATCATTCCCTGGTATATCCCAGGGTTCAGCTGGGTACCTGCCACATAGCAGAGACGCAACAAATATTCGTTGATTGGGTGAATATACCCCCGCCTGATGCCAGCTTCCTACCTGGATATACACGTCTACCGTGGGGGTCTGCTTCACATCTGAGGCCGAAAACGGGGAGCTCATGTGGGTCCCTGTAAATGGGCCCCTGGCCCCGGGCACCGTCTCCACCATCCGCAGCACAAGGAACAAACTCAGCACCCAGTGCAGATCCTTCTGTCTGCCGGTCATCGGCCCCCACGGAGCCTGGCCCGCGCTCTCCCCTTCCCCTTCCGCAGCGGTTCACTTCCAAACAGCTGCTAGCTCCAGTGGCCTGCAGGGTGAGGTGAGAACGAGGGACAGTGTCACCAAAGAGCCCAGGCCCCAGCAGGAGGGGACTGAAAACTTTTTCAGCTGAGGAGCTGCCCTCCGTCCTGCCCCCGCCAAAGGAAAGCCAAATGTAGAAACCCACCCCCTGGATGGAGGCTCTCTGGAGGGACCCAACTCACCCGGCTGCGGGCAGGTTAGTTACGCCCTTCTTCCTAAGCCCCCAGGTAGTGTCTCCACGGAGACGCAGGCCTCTCCCACCTACGCCCACCCCCTAGCCTGAGCCGGGACCCTCAGGGCTGCAAGGAGGAATCCTGGGACTCCAAGGGGATCTTAGCTCCAGGGACCAGGTGGGTGAAACAATATGGGAAGTGGGCAGCGGGGGTGGCGGCTTGGCAAGCCCTCAAAACAACGAAAACATACTCGTGGGGGTGCACTTGGCCTTTGGGCCACGGATTGGAGGACGGAGAAGCAGTGCGGTTGCAGGTCCCGCGGTGAGCTAAGCACTTATCACAGATGACCTCACTGAATTCCCAGAACTGGCCAAGAGAAGGCACTGTTATTATTTCCATTCTACGGATGAGCAAACCTGGGCACAGAGCCAGGTCTGTTTCCCCAGCCGCTGTGCCTTCACCTCTCTCATCCAGCCCCCAGGACAGCGGTGGAGAGGTCACCGTCCCCGCCCCTTGCACAGAGGAGGGAGCTGGGCTCCGAGGAGTTCCCTAACCTGCCCAAAGTCACGTGGCAAGGAGGTCCCAAAGCCCACACAGCTCCTGAGATGGGGAAATCAAGGCCCAGAGGGAAGTGCGTTGCTCAAAATCACACAGCCTGTGAGCAGCCGAGCTGAGCTGGGTCCTAGCATCTGCCTTTTACCTCGACACCAGGGCAAAGCCAGCTTTATTTCCTCCCAAGGAAATCAAACTGGAAAGAAAACAAAACAAAACAAAAACAGGTCCTGGGCACACCGATTTCCTTCTTCTGGCCCTCCCACGTGTTATATACACGAGCATGCTTTGTTTTTGCCCTCACGAGAAGCGAAGTCCAGAAAACCACATTGGGCTTTTTTGTTTGTTTGTTTTTGTAATTCTTTACACAGATGTTTCTCAATGACCTGACCAGGCAGGAGGGGGAGGGGGAGACCCCAGAAGAAAAGAAGGGAAGAGGAGGGGGCAGAAGGGGCCCGTCCCCGCGCTCTTTTCTTACCTGGTGACTTTCCCCCTCTTCTCTTGTTTTCCGGAACTTCACTTGGCACCTACTTGGAACCGGACACCGCAAGTTTCCAATCCGGTAACGGCCACTTACGAGCCGTGCGGCCTTGGGGAGGTCACTTCGCCTCTCTGAGCTTCTGATTCGGTATCTGCAAAATGAAGCCACATGCTGACCCATCGGAGCACATAGTAAAAGCTCAATAAATGTCTGAATCTCTGGCGTCCCCAGCTTGAGGGTCAGGACCTCCCTCTCTTTGGACGACGGATTGCTTGTACTCATTCACAAAGAGAGCATGTATCGAGCGCCTTCTGTACGCCTGTCCGAAGCCCAACTCTCATTAGATGTGCAGTCCTGATAGGAAGAGGCGGGCACAGGAAGTTGGGCTTCAACCCCATCTGCGGCTGCACTTTCTAGGTGCGAGACTCCGGGAACATCAAAGTGTTTCCTAATCTTTGAGAAAATTGAGAATTTGAAGTCCGGGTGCCCGGCCCTCAGGCGGCGCCCTGGCGGGCGAGGAGGCTCCGCTTACCTCTGGCCGGGCCTCGGACCCGCAAACTCCGAACCTCGATCCCGCCGGGCCTCGCGGCCTTCCCGGTCCCCGGCCGCCGGCCCGCGCAGCCGGACCTTTCGCCCCCGTCGCCGCCGACCTGGGCGCCCGGCCCGCTGCAGAGTCCTGGGCACTTCCCCGGTTCGTCCCCGCCCCGCCCACCGTGGCCCCGCCCCCGCTGGCCCCGCCCAAGGACACGCCCCGAACACTGATCCCGCCCCTTCCCTTAAAGGCACAGGCCCCCTCGAGGTCCCGGGGAGGTCTCGGGGTTCCTCCCCGCCAGCCGCTCTCCTTTCTCAGTCTCCAGCTTGTCGGTTTCGCCGTAGCGGCTCCGGCGGAAGCTGAGATAAAACCTGAAGGGTAAAGAGAGCAGGAGGCCGGAGAGGGGCAGTTAGAGAATGAAATTAGGAGGTTTACTCCTAGATGCTTCTGGTAAAATCAGCGGTGGTAAGGGGCGCTCGAGAGGGTCCCAGGAGAGGCGGGTCCCGCAAATATTCCGGCTGCCCTGCCTGAAATGCCTCCGTTCGCGAGACCTCCTGATTGGGGTCAGCACTCTCTCTAGTAGCATCGCTTTTAAAAGAGGAATAAGGCAAATAAGTCAAGACAGGGGAGTCGGTGCTCTACTCCTAGCCCTCCCCGATTCCCAGCCCCTGGGGAGGTTCGCGTCTTCGGCGTCTTTCCGAGGGCTGGGCGGCAGGACAGCAGGTTGGAGTTGGGGCCGACGTCCCCTCCCCGGCAGCTCCGCAGGCTCGCTCCGCCCCCCGCCCTTGCACGTCGGACGCCTCCGCCTGGCTCCCCCGGTGCCCCGGTTCACCATCACCTGCCGGAGGCGTTTGGGGCCCCTCAGCGTCCAGCCCTCGCGCCCCTTTCAGACTTCATCTTGTGCCCCCCCCCCCCACCCCGCCGCCACCCCCTCCCGCTCTGTCCCGGGGAGGGTTCCCCATTCCCTGAACACCCTGCTATTTACACGCGGCCAGCACCTCTGTTCCTTCTGAGCTCCCTTCCCCGGATGCCACGCTTCCCGTTTCCACCTGACAAAAATCTTACTCATGCGCCTGGCCCACCCTCCCCCCAGCCTCCGTCGCCCCCACCCTCCCGGGTTCCTCACCGTCAAAAAAGAGCATACCCCTGGGTCCCCACTCTGGGACACGGATGACACGGTGGCCCAGTGCATGATATCTTTGGAATCTCAGAGCGTCTGGTTTCTTTGCAACCTTTGGTAAACACACTCTAAGAGCCTCACTTTCCTTCCCTGGCAAATGAGGTTGATAATAGTACCTACCAGGAGGAGTCCTTGCAAAATGAAATCCAACACTGTGTGTAAAGGCCTGGGCCTTATGCCTGGGGGCTGAGTGAGTACTCCCTCCATGGAAGGCATCGTGGCAACCATTATTTCATGAGTCCTGCAATATAGGGGCTTACACACCTGATCCCTCACCAGCTGGGAGTCTATCCGAGCAGGGTGCAGGCCAGGGGTGCCCGCAGCTAGTGTCTGGGCAGGGGAATGACCGCGCCCCCTCTGTGGTCAGCTGTTCCCTGGGGCACCCGCTGCTTGGAGAAGTAGCTCCGAAATTGCTGAGTTTGGAACCAAAGTCCTCGTTCCCTAAGGGGCCCTAACTGGTACTTGGTGTCCCAGCCAGCAGAAGAAACTCGGATCACTATCTCCTGGTCTCCCAGGGCTGCGGGGGTGGGGAGGGGGGGTGGGGAGGAGGAAGGGTACTGTTGAGAGACCCCAGGAAAGAGCCAAGGGAGGGAAAGACTCATGGGGGACAGAGAGGGGAGACAAATGGGGCCTGGGACACAGCGTGTGGTTTGCCCTTGCCCTGGTGGACAGTGTTCAGGGTTAAGGCCTATTTCCCAGTCTGGGAAAGGCTATTTTTTTAAAAATCTTTATTTATTTATTTTTTTAAATTTTTTTTAATGTTTATTGATTTTTGAGCCAGAGAGAGACAGAGCATGAACGGGGGAGGGTCAGAGAGAGAGGGTGACACAGAATCTGAAGCAGGCTCCAGGCTCTGAGCTGTCAGCACAGAGCCCGACGCGGGGCTTGAACTCACGGACCGCGAGATCATGACCTGAGCCGAAGTCGGACGCTCAACCGACTGAGCCACCCAGGCGCCCCCCCAAAAAAATCTTTATTTATTTTTTAAGAAAGAGAGAGAGAGAGCAAGAGTGCACGCATTTGCACAAGTGGGGGAGGGGCAGAGAGAGAGAGAGAAGGAGACACAGAATCCAAAGCAGGCTCCAGGCTCTGAGCTGTCGGCGCAGAGCCCAACACGGGGCTCGAACTCACAAACCATGAGCTCATGACCGGAGCTGAAGTCAGATGCTCAACCAAGCCACCCAGGCGCCCCTGGGAAAGGCCATTTGGATATCATGAGTCATCGTAGGAGTAGCCTCAGGAATCACCCAATCCAAGTTCAAGTTCTAACTCTGCCATTTACTGGCTACTTGACGTTGGACAAATCATTTCATCTTTTTGAGGCTGAGTTTCCCCATCTGGAAAGTGGGTTGGTAACAGCACCTAACGGCACTCACGGGACTGTCGTGAGATTATATATGTAAAACCCAAAGCCCACTGCGCGGTACTCGTAAGAGCTGAACACACGGAGGTTGCTGTTATTATCATCATTATCACCGTCATTATTATTGCTGAGGGTGGAAGAGCCTGACCCAGCGTCTGACACCCAGCGGGTGAAAACATCGATGTTGAATGAAGGATTTCACGCTTGCATCCGGTGCCTATAGCCGCCCTCCGCAAACAAGCACGTTTTAGTATATGTCGGAGTTTCTACGGGTCAAGAATTCGGGAAGGGACCCCTCGGGTGGTACAGGAGCAGGGCTCTTCTGTGCTTGCTCGGGTGCGGTGGCTGGGCAGGGGCGGCTGGGGGCCGCCGGGACATTCCTCTTTCTTCGTGGAGTCTCAGGGCATCTCCGTGTAGATTTCTCTGCAGGAGCCGGTCTCCGGGCTTCCCTAGATAGAGCACGGCAGCCTCGGACTCCACGGATGGCACAGCCAGGGGCTGGGGCAGCTCAGGGTATGCACGTCAAGGCTCCGGGGCTCGGGGCAGCGGCCACATTGCCTTTTATGGCTGGTTGTGGAAGTGATGCTGTGTCACGGATCCCCCCAGATTCAAGAAGAAACAGATTGTACCTCTCGGTGGGAGATACGTCAGGCTCCTCTCATAGGAAGACGGTGGGACACGTGAGCTCTCAATGTGGACTCTGCTGAAAAGTACAATCTGCCACCGTGCCTGACTCCACGGAGGGAGGAGTCAAATGGTGCATATTTAGGTGGTGGGCCGAGCAGCGGGAGGGGAATTGTATTTTGGGGATAGGAGGAGAAAAGACCCTCAGATCCCATTGCGTGCACAGCTGCCTGCAGCAACACGGGCAGGCTGGCCCGGGGCTCAGCGTAAACCAGATAAATACCGACAGTTTATCGAAGACTTAATTTGTACTGAGTGTTCACGTGCTTGTCACGTTTGACAGTCCTAGGGGTCGAGGCCCACAGCGATCCCCCTTGCACAGAGCAGGGAAACTGAGGTTCAGGAAATGAAGTGACCCGGGCCCAAGGCACTCCCTGGAAAGCGTCAGAGTTGGGATTTGTGCCTAGGTCTGGGGGACCTCGAATGAGTCCCCTTCACCACCCTGGGCCTGGCGTCCCCCATCACGCCAAAGGTCAGGCCAGCTCTGCCCAGCACTCCGCACCCCTGTTCAGGGGGCCCGGGGCATACAGCGGGAGCTCCGGAAACAGCGCAAGTACCTGGGGACCGCGAGCAGGAGCGGTGAGGCTAAAGCGGAACATCGGAGGGGAACAAGAGAATCAGAAATTTCAGTCTCAGGCCCAGAGACCTGGAAGGTCCCGTCGGGGCGCCTGAGTCTCACCTGCAACCAATCCACGTGGCTTCCTGATCCTAGCAGCCCTGAGCAAACGGTCACATCACACCTACTTAACTTCCCCCACGGATGTGGCACTCACTACCTCTCACAGCAGCCCAATTACCAGAAGAAGTTTTTTCAGTCTCTGTGTGTGTGTGTGTGGGGGGGGGGGGTCTCCATTGGAATAATCTTTCTAGAAAGTGACTTGGCAATGGATACACGTCAATTCCAAGGGCCTCAAAAACACGTGTGCCTTTTGTGCCGCCAGAGATACTCCAGAGGTATCTGTGGTGAAAAAGAGAAGATATGGGCAATGCACTGAGCGCAAGAGTGTTCTCAGCAGCAATCTTTACAGTTGTGCAACAATTAGAAACCCCTAACGGTCCCACAACAGCCGGCTGGGTCGACCGCTTATGGAATCTCCTGGGAAATATTGCCACAAAGCCATTTAACGTTCTGTTTTTCTTTGTTCTCTTCCCTTTCCCCCTCCCCCTTCTCCTCCTTCTTCAGAGAGATAAAATCTGCCTTTCGACCCACTAACAACTGCCTCGGGGAAGCAATTTAGATCATATGTGGTGTGCTGAGCTTGGAACTCTGAACTGAGAGAGGGGCTGAGGCCAGAGAGCAGCGCACGCTGGCTCTGTGATGTTCTACCTGCTGCCTCCCCACCCTCGTGTTCTAGAACGCGTTCCTGTTCCTGGAGAACATCTGGTCAACCTCCACCAAGATATTCCATATACACTTGGCTTCCTCTTCCAGTGGAGGCTTGCCGTTTATTTGCTTGCTGGCCTTGTTTTTTTAAAATGTTTTATTGTGGACTGTATTTTATGTGCAAAATGGGGCAAAAATAGTTACTTCTTTGCAGTTAAAATAATAAAATCAATGCCCAAATACTCTCCATTCAGATTAAAAAACAGAACCTTATCAGTACATTCAGAGTCCCTGAAATCACCATCAACTTGATGATTGTTTAAATCATTCTCCCATCATAGGGGCGCCTGGGTGGCTCAGTGGGTTAAGCATCTGACTCTGGATTTGGGCTCAGGTCATGATTTCAT